AGATGAACACTCCATTCATTAGTTCCACCTGTTCAGACCTTTGAAGCTAGGTTTTGATTGATTGATTTGTTTGTTTAACAGCATATCAACTCCTTATGGGTCATTTAATGCCTGAATTTAATTTTCTTGGGAGCTCTGAAGTAATAAAAATATGATATATGTTATTCTGCTTTCACAATTGAATACATGGTAGATGATGCTCAGCTTTTGTGCATATACACATTTGTGTGGACATAATTACTAGAGGCAGTGACGTGTGTGTTTTATGTTCTAGTTTTGTTGAAGTTATATTTTGGAATACAGTTTGATTTCTTTAAGAAATTATAGGATATTATATGGATTTATGTCATGAAAGAGTTCTTTTGTATTGGTTGTTTGGTGGGTTGATTTTGTTTAGCAGCACATCAACACCTCTATGGGTTATTTAATGCTGAAAATTAAATATTTTGAGCACAAAGTTATGTCTGCAACTTAACATATTTTGAATGCCTTCAAGTACTGATAAAATGTATTGTTGGTCATTTTGTTATAAAACGTGTTATTACTAATTCTACTATAAAATGTATTGCTGGTCATTTTGCTATAAAATGTATTATTACTAATTCTACTATAAAATGTATTGTTGGTCATTTTGCTATAAAATGTATTATTACTAATTCTACTATAAAATGTATTGCTGGTCATTTTGCTATAAAATGTATTATTACTAATTCTACTATAAAATGTATTGTTGGTCATTTTGCTATAAATAGGTATTGTTGACAGTTTTACTATATAAAAATGTATTGCTGTATTTTTACTACAAAAATGTATTTTTATAGTTTCATAGTACTTTGTTTTCGTTCGGGGGGGGGGTTCACTATTTGCCCATAGCTGGGACCCTAACAGGTGCTACCACTCTGGGTCAAGGTGGACCTAGGAAGGGCAGCAGTGAACAGGTGGTTCCATGTTCCTCAAAACGTTCAATCTCTTCGTCAAAGGGCTGCTGAATGTAGTTCATGTCATGCTGCTTACTCAGTCATATGGAGAAACATATTCTCCACTCTGCAGCCTCTTTTCTATATATGCAATGTTGTAAGCCTATCACTATGCTTTTGCTATTTCCATGGCAAATGTTCAGATGAGCAATCCATTCATTCAGACCTTTAAAGCTAGGACTCATTACACTGCAGCCATAAATTTGAATCATCTGCATTTCCTCCATAATCCAAATGTAAGGAGAAAATTCAACTTAGCTTTTCTCCCATGAAATTCTACTTTGTGGAACAGACTCCTGAGTGGGTGCTTTCCACAGCACTATAATCTCAACCTCTTCAATTCAAGGGTTAATTGTTATCTGTCCTTGTTATCTGCATAATCTTCACTTCCTATCACTTTCTCTCTCCTTCATATCACACACTTCATTCATCATTACCAATTGAATATCAACCTCTACCTTGAGTGGCTCAAGAGCCTTGTATTGAGGGAATTCTAATATATAAGAAAACAGTAGCAGAAGAAACCAATTAATGAACATGATGTAGTATAGAACAGGCTGGTCTCACAAATCTTTATCACTGTATTTGATCCTCACTAGGCGACTGATTGATCTCTGGAACATCATTCCAATTTCATGCTTCCTGCTACCTACAATCATCAAAAATTTAAATGCAATGCCATCTTCTGTCTTTATGAAACCTGTTCCTTTATTGTCCTTTTCCTCATTTCTCCTCCCTGAAGTCTTCTCTTTCACTCCTTGTGACCCCCCACACACACACACACACATCTTAGTGGCATTATCACCTTGTTTGGGAATGAAATGATTAAAAAAAATTACCAAAATTAGTTAAGTTTCAAAAATAAATATCTTGGAACATTATCATGTAGTAATGGCTAACAAGCTGATCTCGTTGATTACACCTGACTAGTAAGTTTGTGATGTGATAGAATAACCTACCACCCCTATGAGTGGCGGCACTATAGGTGGTAACCACCTATAAGTATCTGTTAGGACAGCGGGCAGGAGAGTTGAGCTGGAATCTGCAAGACTAGCAGCCTTCCAATAACAGCACGCACAAACAACTGTACTGACTTGCAACGACCGTGTACATAACTATTACTTCCTTGCTTTTTGTACTGGTTTCTACAATAAACCTGTTACTATTTACCCACCATGTTTGTAAATCACAGATTCCTATTAGCATGGAATATAACAGTTTGATACTCACTAGGCATCAAATATTCATGGCCTTGAGCCCAAATTAAGATGTGCTTAGAAAATAAATATCTGGCAACCTTGTCATGTATAACTCATAAATCCTTACTATGTTTTAGATATTAATGGCTTTGCACAAGAACTAAGTTGGACTTAGTAACTAGTATTAATGGTTGTTAACAACTTCTCTTTTTAATCTATTTATTCGACTTCATGTTTTGTTTTTGTTTCTTTTTCTTTTCTTTATTTTTCTTTTTAGGTCAGTCTACTACCAACGGCTCCTGAATCAAGTCAAGGAAAAGACAGTATGAGCGATATCAGAACATCAGGCAGCCAGTTTTTAAACAACAATGTTTTTGTACCACCAACTCAGGGAGCCTTCCCAGTTAAGTTGCAGTACCCAAGTCAGTTGTCGAGCCACTTGGAAACAACGCATGCTGATAGCAGAGAGGGGCTTTCAAGTTCTGCATTGCTCTGGATGAATCATTACAGAAACATACATTCTCAGGGACACACACTCACAGAACTCTCTTATGTACATGGAAATCAAATGGACAGCAGGACCCAGCCCATTTTTACAGATAGCCGCTTACAAAAAGAATTCAGTAAAAACGGCTCTTCAGCAGATCCTGGTACCATTTTTGGTGAAAGTAGTTCTGAGAAGAAAGGGCTTTTCACTGGTTCTGAAAGGAACCATCCCAAGATCTTGGAGCCAAGCTATCTGGATTCAAATCTGATCTCTGCTGGTCATAATTTGGCCTTGAAGAAAGCTATGTTAGTGGATGGTAGACTGCTGCCAAACAATGCAACTCCAGGGCCCCCAAATACGAAACAGGCCAGGAAACCTGTTGCTAATGTTTCACAGGCCTTACCTGGGGAGCCTCGAAGTAAAACAATTGGGAAATCTCAAATGGATTTGCCTAACCCAGCAGTCCTTGCTTATAAAACAAAGATTGGGTTTTCCGATCAATCATCAGTCATAAACAAAGGTCATTCATCTCCTCTTCCAAAACCATGGTCACCTGGTGGAATAAGATCTACATCAACTTCAACTTCAGTTCCATTTTTGTCCTCTAATATATCTTTGTCCAGTCCAGTACCAACTGGATGCTCATCTTTAGGGGAAAATTCACCATCAGGTGGGTGTGTCAGGAAACACGATATCAATTCCTACCCAAAAGATGCCCATTCAGCCCCACCCTTGGATACATGCTCAAACTTGGCCCAGAGCATGAGACCACCATCTGCCCCTGTCTCCACTCAACCTGGGCCTAAGTCACCATTTTGCTGTGATGAATGCACAAAATCAGGGGGTGCTTTGGAAAAATGTGGCAATAAGAAATCCAGGCTTCACTTTAATAAGCCACCAGAGAATTTTGATCGTACCCAATCAAACTTGGATCAAACCACTCCCCCTTTACTGGCAGGTCAACAAAAACCAACTCAAAGTGCTTTCATGTCTGCTCAAAACATCCCTTCTAATGACAGCCATTTGTTGCACAGATCTTTGTGCAGCCAGAACACAACATCCCCAAGTATTACTGCATCTTCCCAAGTAGTTTCATCTACATATAACCCGTTACCACCATCCACAAAACATGATACTTCTCTATCAATTCCCACTACTACAAATGTCGCAAGAACTCACTCAGGTGCTTCATCTCCTTGCTTAACCCCCAAGAATACAAATTTCAAGCATGTTAAGGATTCTCCTTACATTCATAAAATGTCGCCACTTTATCAAATATCTTCTTTTAGTAATACTCCTAAAATGTCATCCCATAATACTTTGACATACACCAATCATCTTCCTTCATTATACAGCAATAATAATGTGACAGTTAATAAACCCATAATGTCATCTGGAATGCCTGTTGCTACTAAGGCTGGTAGAACTATGTCTCGTGCTCCGTTGGAGGATCCCATAAAATTGCAACATCCAAGATATACTTCAAACTCCTCACGTGAACAGAAATTGACTCACGTTTGCTCCACCCCAAATCTTGTAACTCCGATCTATACTTCGAGCATTTACACTTGCAGCTCAAATACCTCCACATTCAGTTCAAGCACCCAGTCCAACCAGTCACAGTTGAACATGGATTCCATGTATGATGGATACTCAAAACCACCACCCCTCCCGCCCCCACCCTCTTATTAGGAGGTTATCAAACAAAAGAACAATGCCCTTAAAAATCATGATCTCTTTGCATCACAGCATGTTGGTAGTTGCAAAAAGCTACTGTGGCAGCCGTTTTCTGATGAGAAGCCAATGATTCATATAAAAAACGAAGTCATTACTGGCACCTACCCAGGGGAAATACAAACACCGTCACAATTGCCATCTTCTTCATCTACTTCCTTTGGTCAATCGGTTTGTCAGGAACCATGTCTGGTCTCCTCAGAGAAAGACAAAATACCTATGCAACCTGTCGTTTCTTCTGCCCCCTCTTTACAGCAGGCTGTGCCTCAAACATTAAACAAACACCCAATGCATTTATCAGACACATGTAATCAACCAGTGAAAAAAATGAAAGCACATATAAAGCCCAAATTGGGGGAAAACGGAACGAGTATTCCTTCCAATTACAGACAGCAAACGATGCTGCATAAAGATCGGCCCTCATCACACAGTGATAACAAACACTTCAAGTCCTGGTCACCAAAACTAAACACAAATTCTGCCAACACCAAAAATGAGATCAAGTGCACATTTAAGATTAAAAATTCAGAATTCAATGAAACTCATTTTCAACATGCTTTTCTGAATTCATGTCCAAAGAATACAAACATTCCATTGGATAAAATGAATCAGATTTCGTCTGCTCTCAATGAGACGGCAAAGTGTGTCTTTAACAACAAGCACCCGACTGGTAACAAGAGCCATGCACCTCCACCTCATTCTGTTGACGGTAGAAAGACGCCTGATAGGAAAGCACCTATAAAGACTGAGCCGGGATTTGATCAGTTTCCAAATGGCCCTAAACCAGAAATGGAATCCGATAACAATGACTTGTTTAAACGCTTGAAGGCGAACCGGAAAATGGAAATCCCTGAGTGTGGATGCTTAGGACCAGGATGTAAGTTGATCTTTGCTCATTTTTCTTATTTTAAGATTTCATTTAGGAAATGACGGCTTTGTTGTAGGCAAATAGACTTTGTGTGTTTTTGTGTGCTTTGAACGAATAAGTCCTTCATTTCTTTGTAAAATTAACTTTTGAAACTTATAGGGGGACAAATTTCATAATATTAAATGGAATCCTAACCTTTGCCACCATTATTTTTCTGTAAGTAGTAGATAATTTTCATTAGTCCGTAATATTGGAGAAGATTTATTCTCCACTTGGCAGCTTTTTTCCACGGACGTCACAAACCTATTGCTATTTTCAAACGTTCATAAGAGCTCCGATCTTTAGTCCCACCAATTCAGACCTTTGTGTCTAGGACACTTGCATGGAATCAATTCATCGTCATTTCCCCTGTATGCTAAATGTAAGAAATAAGTTCGTTCAGAAAGTTTTTACCCAAGAATTTCTATTTTGTGGGATGCTTCCCTGAACACGACAATCTTAACCTTTCCAAATCGAGGGTCAGTCATTGTCTATCCTCCCTATTCTCATAATCTTCACTTCCTCTCCCACCCATCGTACCGCATTCATCATTATCATTTTAACAGTAGCTCTCTACCTTCAGTAGTAAATGCTCTGTTTTTTTTAAATAAACAGTATTAATAACATTTACCAGTCTGAATGTTTAAGAAATTTTGTTGAAAATATAGGTTCTCTGGCAGGAATTGAACCTGTGTCCTATATAGAACCATCAATTGATCTGACGTGCTATACCACTCAGCTACAGAGAAAGCAATATGGGCATGAGGCCAAGTGGTCAGAACATTCACATTCTGATCATAAGACTTGGGTTTGAATCTTACCATTGTCAATTTGTCAGGACGAAGATATCCTGACGTTATTGGACTAGAGGAGGTCAATCCCAGTGTGCAGCACCTTTGGAAAGTGCCTGAAAAAGCATACCACAGATCGACCCAAGCCTTGTGAGTGAAATTGGGTAGACGGAGCCTTTAGGGGCCATTGATAGCTGTGCTAGCACAAAGTCACAAGTCATCATGGCTGAGGGCTTGAGCATGCTGGCCTTGTTCAAATTGTTGATCACACGAGATAACACGCTCTTTCCCAGAAACTGTAACTAAGGTCTGCTCAGCATAGTTGCAATATAAACCACAGGTGGGCTATCTGGGTGTTGAATAAACACAAATGTGCCTGAGCAAGCATCTGCAAAAGGGATTAATTAGCCACCATACTAGGCAGGTATCCTCAAATATGAGTGGCCTGCTATACATACAGAAAAAGTGTCTGGTTAGCAAAGTCCAAATTACTATTTATAAACAGCATATCTTTGATAATCTTTTCCGAGTTATCATATCTGCTTACGAAACGTACCTTAACGTAAAGATTGATAACATATTATGAAATGGATTAAGTCTGACAATTATTTAATATATTTTCTATCTATACATCATTTTAATAGATACAATTTATTTAAATTAATGCTTGAAAAGAATGATCATCGAAGATTTGTTGTTTATAAACAGTAATTTGGACTTTGCTAACCAAACACTTTCTCTGTAGCCGAGTGGTATAGTACAATTGACAGTTCTGTATAGGATTAATTCCTGTCAGAGGACACATATTTTCTATGAAATTTCTCAAACATTCAGGCTGGTAAATGTAATTAATACTGCTTATTTAAAAAAAACAGAGCATTTACTTAAATAAATTTTATCTATTAAAATAATGTATAAATAGAATATATATTAAATAATATTACAACATTACTATCAAATCATATATAGACCCGCTATAATTATTAACATAAACTTATAATTATTAACATAAACTACCCTCTCACCCAGCATATTAAATATTAAATATCACCATATAAAATAACCAATAAGGATTACAAATTTCTACCGGTTACATATACACAGTCATCAAAAACAAATAACCAGCTTTAAATATAACAAATAAACCCCCTTTTTTTCTAAAATTTAAAAATAAATATAAATAATAAATATTTTTACCTATCATAGTTTTGCACAAACCCCACCACACGTATATACATACATGCGAGGAAATATTATTCAGTGGAAAAATAAAATATGACATGTATACATTCACAAGACATTCATAAAATTTTCGCTACACTACCAATCTTTAAATTTCAGCATACAAATGCATATGTATAGACACAACACCACCCGTATACATACATATGTCATATCCGAAGCTGCCCACATATGTTTATGTATGTATGAGTCCCGACGGACGACCAAGTATGTGTATGTGTCTGCGTACTCCATTGGGCATGTGAGCATGCATCAATGTTTGCGTCGGTACGATGACACAACGAGGACATTTCCCCCACCACTTCGATAATAACTCCAATACACGCAATCTACATAAACCCGAAATTTTAAAAAATGAATCAGTTCGTCTGATGATCGCTAAAGCGTGAAACCCAGGGTCACAAACTCACATCTATCCAACCAAATATATATATATATATATATATATATATATATATATATACATTTTAAATATCTAAATATCTTTTCTCTTAAAAGTAATGCTCCTTCCTCAAGCAAACATACATGACAGTAAGAATTTTAAAAATTGAAAGAAAGCCGTTGACTCATGACCTAAATAAATAAATGAACAAAATATGTAGAAATAAATAAGAAAAAATTAGATATCAAAAAATCAATAGCAACATTGACTGACTTTCATTTAATAGGCTGAAAAATTATGTCACTTAGCATCCAGCATAGTTTACCTTTCTTTACACAGTAAACTTTTAGACTATTTTAGAGCATTTTCTCATTCAATATTTTAAAACCTAATGTTTTTTTCTCCACATTACTTCTGTGTATAAATACAGGTTAGCAAATAAAATTTCCACAATTGCACTGATAAAGTTCCTCAAGAAATAAAATGTTTTGGCATAAAAAGTTTTCATCTTATTTGTCTTAGGTGCATATTATGCCACAGAAAAAAATGTAACTACTGATCTATTTTATTCAGTGTTACCTAGACTGCATGTCCCTTATATATATATATATATATATATATACATATATATATATATATATATATATATATATATATATATATATATATATATAATTTTTATATTCGAAAATTATAACAAACATGTTATAAAATCACTACAAAAATAGCCATTTTGTTTCAACACTTCTGGTGTCTTATCAAGTGATGGTGTTGAATGTAGAATAAAGTGTTTTTTTTTAAAAGGTTCAAATCAATCAAACACCCCTCGCAAGGGGAAACGCTGTTACGTAAGCTGGAATGACCAATCAAAATACAAGTATATGAGAATTCAAAGAACTTGACAAAGGACTTTAAGGTTATAAATAATTATTTAATGCTTTATTTAATGTTGGGGTTAGACTAAAGTAGAATTCATTCTAACTAAAAAATATTAAATTATGCTATAAAATTTAAAATTCAAAATTACCAATTTCAAATTTATAAGTTTAAAATTATAAAGTTATTTAAAGAAGAAACCGAGGAAAAAAAATACATGTTTTTCTATTTATTTCGTTTTTATTGAAATTAAGTTGAAATAAACGTTAAGATTTAATGTTGCTCTGAACTTCATGACAACGTAGATACATTTGAAGCAAGAACATGGGCAGGGAGAGGATGAAATCTTGCAAAAGACAATACGTACACAATCAGATTATAATACATAAACACGCAGACGTATTTAGATACATAAACACACAAAAAAGCGATGAGACAGGAAATAGCTCCACGACCCTTAAAAAAAAACAAAAAAAAACGACAACATACATATACAATGAAAGGTACACACAAGTGACCATACACACAGACACTGCGACAAAGACACGTCCATACACACACATACATTGACAAAGACACGCCAACAAATATTCAAGTTTGAAAGTGTTATTAAACAAATTCTAACCTCTTATTAAAATATAAATTATATGGGCAAAGATACATAGATAAAAATGGTAAAATAAAATTCAATATAGGCTGAACAGAAAAACAAACGTTAGGGAAAAAGGACCCTAAAACATATAGACATGGACAGAAAAATAGATAGATATGCATAAAATTAACACCATGTTATATATAAAAAAGATAACTCGAAACACACAAATATATATAAATATTTCATATATACCAATATAAGCACTAGTGCACATACACGAGTACAAAAATATGTGAAAGAAAATAAAAAATACATACAGACATATATGTACACACATTCTTCACTACAGACAGAAACACAGAAAAGCCTAACTACAGACAAACATATACACACATATAGATACCCATATACATATATATACCCATACACTCACATACATACACGCATACGTATATGCATATATACACATACAGAAGCAAGCATAAATATATCAACCTACATAGCAGCATAAAAAGTAAACAAACCAAATATATATATATATATATATATATATATATATATATATCCAAGTGTAGGATTGGTGTATACGAAATAAATTCCAATAACCAATAATTACTATTCTTAAAATAATGCTCAATACAGAGTAGAGCAAATATAATTATTTATTCGAAAATTATAACATAAATATGTTTTATAACATATTTGTGTTATAATCACTACAAAAATAGCTATTTTGTTTCAACACCTCTGGTGTCTTACCAAGTGATGATGCTGACACCAGAGGTGTTGAAACAAAATAGCAAAATTTATAACATATTTATGTTATATTTATAATTTTGAATAAATAATATATATATATATATATATATATATATATATATATATATATATATACATATATATATATATAAACACACAAACATACATATGTACACACATACACATATAAACACACATATATATATATAAAAACATATACAAATGCAAACATAAACACACACACACATATATATATAATATATATATATATATACACACACATACACACATATACATATATACACACACATAAATACACATATAC